AGCCTTCAAATCCATGTGTGTCCAGAATTATCTGCATTTGAACTCTTGGCATAGAAAAGACATCTATTGAAATAGAAAGTGAAATTCCTAGTTTGAGATATTTTTGAAGGAATTATGGGAACTTTGTACATTTTTAGTACTTCTGAAGACTATTTACATTATATTCAAGACCGAGATTAAAACCTTTAAGAATGGCAAATCAATCCCTTAAACAGCTAGGTTGACTAAAAAAATAAAAACTTATTACAAAAACTGATAAATTTGTATTTTTGATAAAGGCTTTACAGAAGAAATTTATCAGCCATTGTCATCAGTTAACAGTTTATGGTTCAGCATTTTTTGATGGTAAATTTATTCATCAAACACAAAGAGTAAGTATGTTTTTTTTTCCAGCTTTCATGCGCATAAAAATTTTGATCTATTCCTGAGATTTAAACTGCTTCCATAAGCAATAAGTTATGTTATTTTGAGCAATTTCATGCCCTTTACCTTCAATTTTAACTGAGTTGTCAACTTCAATGAAAGCCATGTTATTTGTTTACATGGTGCACAGATACATAGTTATTAACCTGTGCTACGAGTTCATAGTGTTTTTAGGAACCTGTGGTATGAACCCGAGAACAGTACTGTTGTGTGATAATATCTTACTATACAACAAATAATGGACTAATTTACATACTGAAATATTTTTCCAGACACCAAGATCCGAGACTAATGTAGCCTGCCATATTGGAGTGAATGATGTTGGTTTACATATCATCAATGCTCAAACAAAGGTAGGTGTGTCCTTTCTTTAATTCCACCCTTGATATAGAGTTTTATGGCTAATTTATTGGAACACAATGTATGTCAGTCCCTCTGTTCATTGTATTTTGTATGCTTTATACGCTTGTATGCTTTATATGTTGTATTTTGATGTATGCTTTATAAGTTATTTTTGTATGCTTTATAAGTTGTATTTTGTATGCTTTAAATGTTGTATTTTGTGGATTATTTGTAATGTATTTTGTATGCTTTATAATTTGTATTTTGTATGCTTTATATGTTGTATTTTGTATGTTCTATATGTTTGTATACTTTATATGTTGTATTTTGTATGCTTTATATATTGTATTTTGTATGCTTTATATATTGTATTTTGTATGCTTTTATATGTTATATATTGTATTGTTGTATTTTGTATGCTGTTTATGTTGTTGTATTTTGTATGCTTTTATAAGTTGTATTTTGTAAACTGTATATTTTGTATTTTTTATGCTTTTATAAGTTGTATTTTGTGAACTGTATATGTTGTATTTTGGATGCTTTTATGTGCTATGTATTTAGGTTATTTGTTAAATGATATCTTTTATTTATATATTAAGTTATATATTAAGTTATATATATAGTTGTATTTTAATAATTTAGGTTATTTACATTATATTTATATGTTATATTTTGTAGGTTATGATACATTCATATACTTATCCTGAGATGAAGGGGTGGCATGAAGAAGAATTTGTCTTAGAAATCCACATACTAAAACCAGAATCCCGCTCGCGTAGACAACAAACCAACATAATGAAAATAAGAACGAAACAGGCTGGACTGATAGTGAACCTAATGGACAAAATGGTGCAAATGCATTACCAGTCCCGAAATAGATGATGGAAGCCTGATTGTGGTGACCTTGTGTCCTGATGATGAGTTTGAATGTCAGAAACATGTCAGCAACATGATATGACAATTGTGACTCTGGTGGCTGTTAAACAATTGCTGAGACTACTGCCAGTTGAAAAATGAAAATTCTAAATGTGCCATATAGCATTATGTCATTGTGTCCAAACGACGTGCCCATTCGTCATACTTTTGCGTGGCCGTGGTAATAAAAGGGAGAGAAATTACGTATTCATAACTCAGTATTGTCCTATCAAAATTTGCCCTGAAATCTTTCTAGTGAAATGTCAGCCAATCAAATTACACGTTATAGATGCTTTGTTCACAAATATAAAGGAATGTTTTGATTATTATGTATGGTACAGAATTGAGTAAGAATTTAGGAAAAGAATTGAATTGGAATATTTACTTGGAAAGAATGTGTTCTTTTCATTTCTGTTTTCCCTAAATCCTGATCTGATTGGTCAGATATAAATAGCACCAATCTCATTTCCACGCCCACAAAACGAAGTGTAGCTGGCTTAGTTTAATACGAGTTAATAAGAACCGGTATTCAGGAACGATGTTTATTATGAATTTAGAATACATCCAAATTAATGTTGAGTGAATTGGGGAATCCATTAGGCATAGAAGAGAAAATTACCGCTGTTTTTTTGTGCTGTGTTTAATTCCAGCTAAGACAGGAATGTAAAGATTGTGAGGAATTTACTTTCAATGTAGTAAGAAAAATAACTTCCATATAATAGAAGTGGAATCCTGCAAGTGCTTATAAACCATAGATCCAGAAATAGACCACTAGTTTCTGGAAAGTGAGGAATGACACCTGACTGTAAAATCCTGCAATTCTGTAATGATTAGATTCAGTGCTTCTAAAATTTATGATTGCGTTGTAGTGCTTTCTAAATTATATAGTGCTAGAACTTGTTTAATAGTTTGAATTATGTGAGGAAAAAGTTTCAAGAAATTTAGTTATGTGTTAGTTCCAGAAACAGAAATTAGGTGATTCTAAGATGATAAGTTTTATTGATTCTAAAAGGGGGGCACTCGATTGGTGGGTTATGTACGTTCAGGATTCATGGAATCAACAGAACGTTCAATAAAACAGGTTGGAACAGAGTTAAGAATGTGCTCCACTTGTGCCGAAAAAAAAGTAGATGCAGACAGAATTCAAAATGGCAGAGAAGGAAATAGATGAAAACATTTTGATTGTGACATTTTGCGCTTTTGTGCCATTCGAAAGAGGGCAGAATTGGACCCAACAGAACCTGTCCAGGACTCTTAAATCGGACCCCACCTTTGTGAACTGGGATATGCCTTCAAATACAGTTTCTTAAATATGGTAATATGTTAATTAGTTTTAGCTAGTTTATATCAATTGAGAACTAATATAACTTGAAGGATCTCGAAAACTTAAGAGAATTTATTTGTTAGATTTTGTTATAAGTTATATAACTTAATGGATTAGTTTGAGAAAGCTAATATAACTTGATGGATGAGTTTGTGGTTACTGATATAACTTGATGAATTAGTTTGTGATAACTAATATAACTTGATGAATTAGTTTGTGATAACTAATATAACTTGATGGATTAGTTTGTGATAACTAATATAACTTGATGAATTAGTTTGTGAAATAGTTTGTGATAACTAATATAACTTGGTGGATGAGTTTGTGGTAACTAATATAACTTGATGGATTAGTTTGTGATACCGGTAAATTAGTTGATGGATTAGTTTGTGATAATTAATATAACTTGATGAATTAGTTTGTGATAACTAATATGACTTGATGAATTAGTTTGTGATAACTAATATAAATTGGTGGATGAGTTTGTGGTAATGTTGTGATGTTGTCTCTTGACGTTATTTCTGCTAGAAAAATCATGTATTAAGAATTGATCAAACAAATTGAAGACATTACATTTTTTGTTAATGTATTTCTGCCATTAATTTAATTATGAAATTGGTCTTTAAAGGGATTGTAAAAAGGTTTTCTAAATTGTTCATGTGTATCGGGGACACTGATTCCAATTTTCAATCAGACACCTGTGGTTTCTGCAATTCCACTAAAACCAACTGTTTGATGAAGTCACTATCAAGAAATTTGCTTTATCACATAAGGCCCATCGCGATTAGTGATATCATCAAACAGTTAGTTTTAGTGGAATTGCAGGAAACACAGACATCTGATTCAAAATTAGAACGGTGCAAATTGATGCCATCAGTGTCCCCCTATACACATCAGTTTTGTTGGAAAAAAACTTTAACGGAACCACCGACATGACATAAATGGTGTAGGGGGATTATAATGTTATGACCAAACCACTCAAATATCCATCTTCCCAAATGTGTTTGGGTTTTGTGAATACCTATAAAACAGGGCCTAGATTTTTTGTCTCTACACCAGCAGACAACTTTCAAAGTATCTATTTATTTGAAGCTGGAATAGAGTCAAATGTTTCTGTAGGTCCAGAGTGTTGTAGGTCTTCATTTTACAAAAATACAATCTCCTTATATATATATGCACATTATTAACAGATCATGATCTAAATGAGTACTAAAGATTTGAGACTAGTGTGGGCCCTTGTTTTGGCTATTCAAATATTTTGAGGAATAGATGCCTTCAAGTGACAGGTTCGCCATCTGTTTGACCAATCGTACCTTCAATTTTTTAACCAAGCCAATCAGTAATAGTATTCACAGCTCACCGTTGAAATTTGAGCCTTCAAATCCAAGTGTGTCCAGAATTATCTGTGTTTGAACTCTTCTTTTTTGAGACACTGCCATATATAGAAAAGAAATAGAAAATGAACTCCTAGTTTGTGGTATTTTTGAATGAAATGCTATTTTCATACATTTCTAGTACTTCTGAAGACTATTTACATATATTCTAGACTCAAATCAATCCCGAAAATGGTGAATCTATTCCTTTAAGTGCATTAACTGTGTACTACATTCATTGTAAGAATACAAAACAATTATGCATGGCTTCAATTGTTTTTATAAAACAAATTTTATTTTAACTTTGTTATGAATATATATTATCTTTCTAAATATGTGCATTTATATAGATATTTAAATATGTGGGAAATATCTGTCATTGTAAAAATTTTGGAAATATCTATCCTTGTAAATGTGTGGTTAATATCTATCTTTGTAAATATGTGGGAAAAATCTAGTCTGGTAAATATGTGGGAAATGTCTGTCCCTGTATATATGTGGAAAATATCTGTCCCTGTAAATATGTGGGAAATACCTGTCCCTGTAAATATGTGGGAAATGCCTAGTCTGGTAAATATTTTGGAAATATCAATCCTTGTAAATATGTGGGAAATATCTATCCTTGTAAATATGTGGAAAATATCTATCTTTGTAAATATGTGGAAAATATTTATCCTTGTAAATATGTGGGAAATATCTGTCCCTGTATATGTGTGGAAAATGCCTATCCTTGTAAATATGTGGGAAATATCTATACTTGTAAATATGTGGGAAATATCTATGCTTGAAAATATGTGACAAATATCTATCCTTTTAAATATGTGGGCAATGTATATTTTTTGTAAATAGGTAGGGATATGTGGATGTACATCATGTAGGAAATTGTACATGGGAGTATGATTTGTAAATAGCCTTGGAACATTTTTTACCAAAAATAAATTATATTTGATAATTTTGAACTTGCATAACATAATAAAAATTGAAAAATATGTGTTGGTTTTTCATTTATGTTTATAAAATACAATTTCTCATTGCCTCACATCTTACTTACGCCATGGGCCGTTGAAATCAATCCTCTGTCAAAATTTGGATGTTGACTGAAACATTTTTTTTTTACTCTCCAGCCCTAAGATTTTGCAATGCATTTAAAAGAGGTATTCAGAGAAGATTTAGGCACTGAATGGACCTTTTGACCATGCCAAAAAATCTCAGCGTTTGATCGGCTTGCGAAATACTATGTCTTAGAATGAACATAAAATTTTAGAATTTTAAACTTTGACAATAAGAGCATTATATTCAGTAGATATACCTGGTGTCATAAATAACATAACAGGATCATTATATGATACGATAAATCCAAAAAACTTGGTAATTATCCACAAATATACAATTAACTATTGAAATATCAAGATTAAGCATTTTCAATAATTACTTATTTTTACGAATTTTCCAATTTTCCAGATTTTACAGGGATTCTGTTTGAACTTTATGACACCAGGTAAGTTCACAGATGAATATATACTCATATTAACCATTCTTGTAAATTTTTGAGTTAAGCTAATCAGTAATAGTGTTCACAGGTCACCGTTGAAATTTGAGCCTTTAAATCCATATGTGTTCAGAATTATCTGTGTTGGAAAGTTAAAAAGATAACTTGTTTTTTATTGAGTTTGAAGTATTTTTGAATGAATTATCTGATTTTCGTAGATTTCTAGTACTTCTGAAGACTATTTACATAAATTCAAGACACAAATCAACCCCGCCACTGTCCCCTTAACTTAAATAAAAGTATCAAATAATAAACAAATCCATCCATGAGGTCTGATTACTTTGAAATTGAAAGCTAGTTAAGACTACTATACTCATACATGAGCTCACAATGAAATCTTAAATTAATGTATGACGTTGGTAAAGTAGACAAAATACCTAAAGGCAGAGGAAGGAACTAAAAAATCAGCCTTATTTTCTACTAATTAATTAGAATCAATAATGAAGACTGACAGTCCAATCAAGAGTGATGGTTATTTCAGTCAAGGACAATTATGTTCTAATTTTATGGCATAAATATCGAGACGATCAGAATTTTCTTTTCTATTTCAGAAAAAATATAAGAGAACAATGCCACAAACCGCGAGTTCATAGCTCTGCTACTTTTGGAAGTACTGAGTGTTTCTAAAAGTCTTAGTGAAAATCAGGATTTTTGGCACTTTTTCACAGGAAAAAAAGTCCTCAGAATCCACTTGTATGTGCATTGGGGGACTTTTTTTATG